CGCTAATGTGACTGCATGTATCCATAGTCTATTTCAGTGGCTGAGTGGTATTCCGCAGTATGGATACATCACAGCTAGTTTACCCATTCCCCTGTTGAGACGCGTTCGGTTGTTTCCAGGTTTGGGCTACCATGAACAAAACTGCTATGAACATTACTGTACAAGTCTTTCTCTTGCACATATGTCTAGAAGGAGAGCAAGCTGCATTGTTAAGAATTCGTCAAAGGTGATGGTGCAGATCGTGACCAGGAATCGGGGAGAAATGTGAATACTGCAGGTGATTAGATAAGAAAATTATAAATAGAATTTAAGAACTTCAAAGAAAAATAAAGAGCCCTCCTCTAAAAAAAAAAAAAAAAAAAGAAAATTGTAAGATTATAATACAGTGAAAATCAAATGGTCTGGGTTCCTGTGGGATGGGTAAGACGGCAGCAGATATGGAATGTCCTGGAGTTGAGGGATTTAACAGTTCCCTCGTAAAACAGTTCCCTGACCTTTCTCCAGTCTCAGACTAGCCCCACACCTTCCGGAACCACCACAAAATGAAAGTAGATATATCTGATCCTTACTTCACAGAGCTCTAAGGTCATCTCTCGGCAAATGTTTGGGTCCTTTAGGAGAACGTTAGCTTTAAAAGGCCAAGGTGATGTATGCTGTACTTACAAATATGGACTGAGTGCGGGAGGCCAGACACAGAACAGGCATAAGGTATTTAACCCAGAAATTCTCTCCAAAAGGTAGTACAGAATAAGATCAGTTTTATTACTGAATAAGCATTAAGCCAGAATGTGATGTGCAGCACAGTGTGCTGCGAATTGCAGAGAAAGAACAAAGTCTCACTCTTTTATAGAGCCAGGCAGACACGACCCGTTCCATACGTGTTCTGAAGACAAACCATCACTAGTTCTCGAGTATGGGGAAGTGATGGCACCATTGGTCACACGTAGTGCATTCTAACTCTACCTGGTAGTTGAGGACATTGTGTGCTAGCTAACTGGCTTTATCCCGAGGAGAAACGACCTTCCGACTTCATGATAGGAGGTTATCTTGAGGCTTAGAGGGAGGTGCTCACCGAAGTTAGGCTCCTACGCTCCCGCCTAAGACAGAGCACTGTCTCCCTTGATGTTCACATTTCAAAGACATGGGGCCTAGGTCCCCGACAGAGACACTCCTGGGCCACAGCGTTGGCAAAATGCCAATCTAGTCTTCAAAAACGATTTGTATATCTTTCGGGGCACCTGGGTGGCTCAGTCGGTGAAGCATCTGACTCTTGGTTTCAGCTCAGGTCATGATCTTGTGGCTCACAAGTTCGAGCCTCGCATTGGGCTCTGTGCTGACAGCTCAGAGCCTGGAGCCTGCTTTGGATTCTGTGTCTCCCTCTCTCTCTGGCCCTCCCCCACTTGTGCTCTGTCTCTATCAAAAATAAATATTTAAAAAAATTTTTTTCTTAAATGATACGTGCATCTTTCAAAGATGGGAGAAGGCACTTATAATGGCAAGTTTCCTAAAATCAATGCTTGGAAAAAAAAAGAGAGAGAGAGAGAGAGAGAAGGGAAATCTCTTCCTTTACTTTCAGCAGGAGGAATTGAATCTGCTTTTAGTTTGTATTTGTTCTGACAGTACACACTGGATATTCCTTAAAATGATGCACACAAAATAAATCCGTTTTGGCCCAGCGCCCAATCTGGGGCCTCCGGCTTTGGAGTGAGTAAGGTTGAGGGATATGGAGCAAGGGGCTTTGATGTAGGACGCTATTCTGGAGTCTTCCCTCGGATCCTTCCCATCTCATGGCTGCTAAGAAACCATCCTCCTCTGCTCCCACTGCCAGCTTGAGGACCTTGACTCTTATTTGGTCCTTGCAATCCTCCAGAGGCCCCAGTAAAGTCCCCAGTTGACCCCTCACCTCTGGAGGCACCTTGGGTCAAGGACACCGCGAGGCAGGGGCCGTGGCTGGGCACTGTTTGGGCTCAGTGAATCAACGTCTACGCGGAACACAGAGAAACTTGTTAGATCCAAACCCAGCATGACCTGTGCCCCCTTTCCTGAGCCAACGTCCCTTTTGTTCTGTCTACAGAGACGTGTGACGCTGCCGATCCAATTACCGCAGTCTCTTTCTAAGACGTTACCAGTTTGTAAATGTTTTGAACGGAGACTGGGTGGCTTCCCTTCCTAATGAACTCAAGCGGCCTCTTCCCTGATGGTGGCAGCTAGAATTATGGCTAGCTTCACTCTGAGAGGGGGATGTACAGAGTGACCCTTTTGTCACTCTTGTTTATCTGGGCTTGTTTCTGGGGAGGAGAAGGACATTGTCCAACAGATGCGTTACTTTACCCCAGCCACTCTGCTCTCGCGTAGAGCAGCTGACACAGCGGGTGCAGGGCTGAGAGTTTGTGTTTGCTGCTGTGTGACACTGCGGGAGGGGGAAGATGGTCGATACCGTCATTATTTAAAGTCACTTCCACCTACTGGGCCGAGTCACTGGAAGGAATGTCGCTGCCTGGGATTTTGCAACAGTCTCAAAAATATGCCTCTTACAAGGCCTCCTTAAAAGGAAGGCTGAGTGGGTCTGCAGTCCTGCACACAGCTACCTCTCTGCTCAGGGCCTGGGGTCCCCCGCGCACTGCCGACAGCAGTGATGCGGCACGTTTGTCTCTGATCGGAGCTTGGAGGGAGGCAGGGCTCGTTCCCCCACTTGGCCCACAGGCTGAGAGTGGATGAGGCGGGGGCGCTGCCCCAAGGCAGCCGGAGAGCAGCCTGGCCCAGAATTGGCATTCCCTTCCTCCTCGCCTAATCCCAAACCAGTAAGGGAGGAGAAAGGGGTTTTGCGTCTGAAAACATGGACCCCAAAAGTGCACCTATGGCCGGCCAAGTCAACAGAGACAAAAATCCACTTTGGCTGAAATGACCCGACCCCCTGACATCAGATTTCAGAAGAAATGAGACCCTTTTTTTTTTTTTTTTTTTTTTTTTTATTTTTCAGACTATGGTCAATATTCTCTCCCTGCCCCTCAAAGTCCCAAACAAGAGGCTTCCTATAAAAGCCTTGACTGGTTTCCAGAACACTTGTGACTATTCACAGGGAAACCAATGATTTCCCAAGCAGTGAGTTCTAACGGTTCTAAGAACACAGCTTTGGAGCCGAGGCAAACTTTGGTGACTTTGGGCAAGCGACCGTGACCCTGCATCTAGTTACTCATGATTTTTTCATCACAGGGTTACTATGAAGGTTAAAAGAGATAACAGATGCAAAACACTAAGCACAGAGTCTGACACTTATTAAGCCCCCTATAAATGCTGAAGATAAAATTATAAAATGTTCAATAATTATCTCATGCTACCTATCTGGACACTCTAATCGCTCGTTTTACTTTTTAAGCACTTTCTATAATGACAGTCCCTTAAGATTTCCTCAGTAAAAGAGGTTTAAGCATGTGTCCTAAACTCTACGTTCCACATGCTACCAACACAAAGCTCCTCTAATGAAAACATTTACTTTTCATTTGTCATGTGGGTGACTGGAGCCCCCTACTGTCAGGGGAGCCCTCAAGTACTTGGTTTAGAGGATTTTCCATCCAATTTCCAAACTCTTGGGAGCCTTTCGAGAAGTCCTGGTTAAGGCTCAGGAGGATTGGTTAACCCATGAGAACAGGTCCCACACCACTAAGAAGGTGAGAAAAGAAAGCTTCCCTCTGCATAGTAACAGGGCACGCTCTCCAAGAGTGAGGTGAGCTGGGACTTCTCAATGCTGCTGCTTCTTTTTTTTTAATGTTTATTTATTTTTGAGAGAGAGAGAGAGAGAGAGAGAGAGAGAGCGCGCACAAGCAGGGCAAGGGTAGAGGGAGGGGGACAGAGGATCCAAAGAGGGCTCTGCGCTGACAGCAGCGAGCCCGACGTGGGGCTCGAACTCGCCAACTGCGAGATCACAACCTGAGCCAAAGTCAGACACTTAACCGACCGAGCCACCCAGGCACCCCTCGATGCTTCTCGAATACTCCAGAGCCCCTCTCCACCCTCCTCACCTCCTCGCACAGTCAAGCCTCCTTTCACTGCACCTCTGGACCTTGAGGTGTCTTTGGGGTTCTTTGCTACATGGATGCCAACCAGAACTACTCATGGCAGACACCTCATTGTCCCCACTTGGCCCAGCTCTGAGGAAGGGATGGGGTCTGGGAGCTTCCCCCAGCCTCCTAAAACAGGCAGCAGAGGGATTTAGCCACATGACATCAGTAAGGGCTGGGGGGCGGGGTGTAGAGATGGGCCCTCTGCCCACAAGTTGTCTGCACAGAATTCAGACCACCGCTAGTGAGGGGCTTTTCCAATGGAAGGTCCAGGTCCATCTGTCTGATCATTTGGGAACGAAAATAGCAGCATAACAACAAAAGACAGACACTTAAATAGCCCTCGCTCTGTGCCAGGCATCGTTCTCAGCACGCTACTTGTATTAACTATTCAGTTCTGGGGCGCCTGGGTGGCGCAGTCGGTTAAGCGTCCGACTTCAGCCAGGTCACGATCTCGCGGTCCGTGAGTTCGAGCCCCGCGTCGGGCTCTGGGCTGATGGCTCGGAGCCTGGAGCCTGTTTCCAGTTCTGTGTCTCCCTCTCTCTCTGCCCCTCCCCCGTTCATGCTCTGTCTCTCTCTGTCCCAAAAATAAATAAACGTTGAAAAAAAAAATTAAAAAAAAAAAAAAAACAAAACTATTCAGTTCTGTCCTTAGGCCCCAGAATGGAAAGAGTCTGAACTCCCTCCAGGTCCTGGGGTGAGGAAGAATGCCAGGTGAGAGGTGTAGGAAAAAAGAGAGCTTTCTCTTCTCTGGAAAGTCTGCCAACTTGGAACCCCTCCCTCCCCATCTCCTCTGAGATGTTCCTGTTTCACAGAAATTCAGCCTTTCTTCTGTTTTGGAATTCGGGCATCCCCAAACGCTCCCCACCCCTGCAATGGCTGGTCTCCTTCCCCAACACCATCAGCAGACCACCCACCAGGTGGCTCTGGGGTTGCACTTACCTTCTCTGGGCCCCACTCAGGTTTCTAGATCATCACCAGCATCTCTAGCCTAGGCAGCTGCCTTCACATCCTCTGGCCCCAGCAGGACATAAAGATCCTCGGTCCACAAGGAAAGGTCCAAGAGGGACCCCTGAGCTGGAGAGCAAATGACATTTTGAATCCTTCCACTACCGCTAAAGAAACAAACCCATGAACTTCTCCAGGGCTGGAATTTTTTCTTTCGCTTTGTATCTCCTGCATATCCTGTGACTACACACGGCAGGCACTCAATAAATGTCCACTTAGGAAAAGAATGAATGATATACTTGCCCGGCACACTCAGACCTCCCTTCAGGAATATCCAGATTCAGCATGTAGTTGGTGAGCAACCGGTGGGCACTTCTAACCAGAGCACCATACCAGTAACCAAGCTGAGAGAGTGTGGCGGAATCATAAAACCCTTTGTCCATCTGCCAACACAGTTTGAAGGCAGAAGTGTTTCGTGATAAGGGCAGAAACGAGCTGTGCTTCAGAGGCCCTGTCAGTTCGAGGATTTCACACCAGGTCAAAACTTCAGAGACTCCACGATGGGTCAGTAACAGCTAACGGGTAAAGAAATGCTCGAGCCGCTCTGGGTGCTATAAAACCGAAGTGATTCCCCAGGATAAGCGCCCATCTCCTCAGTCCGAGCCCGCAGCTGCCGCCCACATGCCCAAGAGAAAGGCCCAAGGAGACAAATGCCAAGGGAGAAAAGCACCAGGGCTCCGTTAAATCTGCTCCTCTGAGAGGGAGGGGGGAGACTCACCCAAAGGGAAACTCCTGTGGGTAACAGAGCAGCCATATCACTGCCCAGAGAGTGGAAGGTGCTGGAGATGTCAAGCGAATGTGGTGCACTTTTAAAATAACTGATGATCGATGGGTAGTTTTTTTAAGTTTTTACTTTTAAAGTTATTTATTTTGAGAGAGAGAGAGAGCACGTGCATGGGGAAGGGGGCAGAGAGACAGAGGGAGAGAGAGAATCCCAAGCAGGTCCTACTACTCTGTCGGCGCAGGGCCCAACACGGGGCCTGATTTCACACACCGTGAGATCATGACCCAAGCTGAAATCAAGAGTCAGACGTTCACCGACTAAGCCACCCAGGCACCCCTAATAATAAATGTATGGTTTTGATGAAATATTATTTTCCCAAGTTTTTAAAATGCAAATTTGTCATTAAGAACCCAGGCTCTCTCTTCTGCTATCTCAGAGGACTGGGTTTTTTCTAGGCTTCTCATCTCATTGATGCAAGATGGCTGCCACAGCTCCAAGCATCACACCCTCATACAACTGCATCCAAACACATAATGAAAGGAGACAGGGAAGAAGAGCTCTTGTGCATATTTCTTTTTAGTAGGGAGGAAAATCTTTCCTACATGCTCTTCAGCAGATTTCCTTTACGTCTCATTGGTTAGACTGGGTCATATACCATCCCCTAGCTATAGTGGAGGCCAGAAATATCTGACATATTTAGTCTCTACTGTGGGTGGTGAGCCCTTCTAACAGGGTATGAAAGGAAAAGGAATCTGGACTACGCTGAGAGACAACCAACAGTGTATCCACAACCCTGTCTCTCTAATACCAGGATGCCCATCATCCATTAACCATCTTCCACCCACCATTAGACAGGGGGCACCTGCCTGTGCCCGGGAGTCAGTCTGTTTCCGACTTACGTTTTAATGTTCCAAACACACATAAAGCCTCTTCAAGGAGAGGAGGTCCCTAGACACCTCGAGGTGATGGCATTGGGGGAAGGAAATATTTGACATTGTACATAGGCAGGGCTAACTGGAGGGTTTGCTTGGGATTCGACTCCTTGCTACCCCTTCAAGCCAAGACACAAGGGCACTCCCTAGCCACCCCCCCCCCATTATATTAGAACACGAAGGCTTTTAGCCACGCCAGGCCCTGCTCTCAGAATGGTCACTAGCAAAATACCATGAGAAGTGTGAATTCAAACCCACAGTTTTTCCAATCACCAGTCTAAGTGGAATATTCCAAGGAATAATATAGATTGGAAACAGAACTTGGGTCTGAGCATGCTGGCAGGTGGGACTTCTTTCAGTAGTAAATAAGGCAAGACTGGCTGCTGTTTTTCTATTTAGGACTCACCTCTTCTTAAAGCCAAACAGCAGAAGCACTGCTTCGTTGAGTAAAAATAGAAACAAATAACATGATCATCTATATCTAGCTCTATTTCCTTTTCTATTAAAGGGAAATACCCCAAACATTTGCAGCAAAATCAATAGTAGATAATGAGGCACACTAAGTAAGAATGCAATAGGTAAGTGAAAACAGAATACCAAACAGGACATTAAAAATTATTGTATTACACCACATGTGGGTGCACGCACATGCACACACGTGCGCACACACACACACACACACGCAGAGTAATGTGTTATAAAAATAACACAGTTATGTGGGATCATGAATTATTTAAGATCTTCTCTTTTTAGAAAACAGATAGGAAAGATAACTGAATTAATTTGGCTTTCGACAGATTGGAGCAAGATCTTGTTCCCTCCCTCACACTGAGGCTCTCCCACACCCCAGTTATAAGTCACACAGTGCAGTGGATGCATCAAAGGCTACCTCGGGGTGCCCGGGTGGCTCAGTCGGTTAAGTGTGACTTTGGCTCAGGTCATGATCTCACAGTTCATGGGTTCGAGCCCCATGAACTCATATAGGCTCTGCACTGATGGTGCAGAACCTGCTTGGGATTCTCTCTCCCTCCCTCTCTCTCCCTGCCCCTCACCCACATGCACTCCCTCTCTCAAAAAAACAAATAAATAAATAAAACTTAAAAAAAAAAAAAGAAAGAAAAAAGAGCTACCTTAGCTCCAAAAGAGAATGAGTAAAATGAGCTGGTTGGGATCAGGGAAAGAAGCGAGAGGGGATAGTTAAGTCTCCATGTATAAATGTAGGTCATGTGCGTTGAGTTCAGAAATTTCTCTTATTAAACATATTCTGTGTGTGTGCTTAATACCATGTGTTAGGTTTATAAGAACAAATATAACTATACTGTTGCACAGCAAAGACAAATTGTGTATCTATCCTAGACCCGTGACTTCAGAAAATTCACCTTCCAAATTCTTCCATGTGTGTGATAGGACTTCTTGATCCTTTATTGACAAATCTGAAATACTCATGATTCTAAATGTCTCTTTTTGATGTTTGGTAACAGGAAATCCAGGCTGACAGAGCAGTTCTTTAGCTGCTGGTCAGTTTCCTCGTTAAGTTACAAAGGAATGCTGCGATTTGGAACCCAGAAGCCTCTTGAACCTCACTTGGAAAGGCTCTTTACCAGTGCTAATGAGCACTTAGAAGGAGCAGACTGCGTTTCTCTGTCACTTACAACTGCTCTCGGCTCTGCTCTTCCAAAAACTGAACTTAGTGAGAAAATGGCAAGAATGAATCTGCCGTGCCTGCTTCTCTTTTTCTTTAGTGTTTAATAATTCAAGACAACATACTCCGCAAACACACCAAAGGGAAAAAAAAATATTCAGGTTTGTTTAGCAGCCTCCCAGGAAGAAAACGGGTTAGATTAGTGATTTTTCAAACGTTTGAGGCCACAGGCCACAGCGAGAAATACATTTCACGTGACAAAGCTTCACAAAACAGTATTTAACCTTAAAGCTTGTGAAGCACACAGTTTTATTTTATTCGATTCTGTTCTGCTCTGTTGTCTCCTATTTTTTCTTTCCCCTTTTTTTTGTTTTTTTTTGTTTTTTTTTTGTTTTAAGAAAGTGCTGATGGAAACCCTCTACCTGGGGTTCACCACCCTTGGATGAATCCTGGCCCACATCTTAAAAACACTGGATTAAATGGTGATTATAAATTAACAAGGATTAATACAAAGGATATTTTAAAAGTCACGTATAATACCGGGGCTGAGGGAATAAAACAAATCCCCATGTTACAGACCAGACTATAATAGCAGGCTTTTGTGGGATTTTATTACTTCTTCCTCTACTTAAGCCCCCTCCCTCCAGAAAAGAAAAAAAATCTGTGTTAATTAAAATAATACTGGGCTTGAATACAGTCTCACTGTAAAATGTGCACAACATACAGCTAAAATAAAAATCTTTGTGGGGCCCCTGGGTGGCTCAATCGGTTTAAGCATCCAACTTTGGCTTAGGTCATGATCTCGTGGTTTGTGGGTTCGAGCCCCGCGTCGGGCCCTCTGCTGACAGCTTGGAGCCTGGAGCCTGTTTCAGATTCTGTGTTTCCTTCTTTCTCCCCCGCTTCCTGGCTCGCACGCTCTCTCTCTCTCAAAAATAGTTTTTAAAAATAATAAAAAATAAAGTAAAAATCTTTGCAGACCATTCCTCACTCCCCACCCTGAGCCTCTCCAGCAGTAACTCTTTCCAGGCCTTTCCTAAGCATTTACTATATAGGTCTATATAAAAAGGTGGAGTTTTGCTTTCTGTTTTAATAATATAGTCACATATTATAATACTGTTCTTCAACTTGCTTTTTTTCTCATTAGAATAGCTAATATCTATTTCATGTGTGTGCAAACTACTATGCTAGGCACATTATATTAACGTGCTTTTGGAGGATTTATTTTATTTTTATTTATTTTTTTAATATATGAAATTTATTGTCAAACTGGTTTCCATACAACACCCAGCGCTCATCCCAAAAGATGCCCTCTTCAATACCCATCACCTAACCCCCCCCCCACCCCCCATCACCCCTCAGTTTGTTCTCAGTTTTTAAGAGTCTCTTATGCTTTGGCTCTCTCCCACTCTAACCTCATTTTTTTTTCCTTCCCCTTGGAGGATTTATTAAAATGCTAAATTAGATTGAGGTAAATCATTTCTTAGAAACCAACCAACACCTTTTAGTGTTTAACCATATCCAAGATACCTAGCTTTTAGTCTATAAACATGAATCTTCGTATTATTTTTTCAAAAAGCCTTACTCCACTTGTCAGATTCATGTTTTCTTCCATGTTATTTTTTTCATTTGCTGGGTTTAGTGCCTCCCTGTTCAGCATGTTGGGTTTTCCTCAAATACTGGGGGATTCCTGGACGTACGCATGTGTTAGTGCTTGAGTGGCCTTCTAGGTCTGGCTGTGAGCACTGCGTCTGTTGAGCAGACTGCCTCAGGGACAGGCCAGAGAGGAGCAGAGCAGACAGGGCTCCTTCCTTCCCTGGCTGGGTGTTATAGCCTCTCAAAGTCTGGCTGGCCTCATGGGTGCAAGTATTCAGGGTCTTGCCAACATCTCCCTAGAAGCAGACATGCCTTCCTACTGCAGCTATATAGGCACAGGACTACTTACAATTTTTTAAACGAATAAGCAGCCACTGACACTAGAAAGAGAGCTTCTTCCACAAATTTGTGGGAGCAGTTGACCTTCACATAAATTCCAGAGAAACAATAACAGGTCCCACAAGTAGTATAAGGTCTTTCAACAAAATCTCCATGAAGACCCAGAAGACAGAGCTACATTATCGGAACACATAAACCCTGTGATTCCACCTTCACTCACTGCCCGAGTCACGACACACGGTCATCACAAACCCAACCTGACCCCGCTAAGGCAAGGAAGGGAATTTATTGCTACATTATAACTTAAAAGTTCAGGTGCACA